CTGGGCTTCGGAGAAGCCCGGGGAAGCTTTCATGAGTCAGAAAAAACAGGTGACATTCATCCTGTAACAGGGGCTCTGCTGGGTGCTCCAAGGACATTATCTTATTTCATTCTCAGAAGGGAGGTGGGTGTTCTCCCCATTATACAGGGCAGGTTACTAAGGCTCAGATGCTGAGAGACTTGGTCAGGTTCAGACCTCCAGTGAGTGACTCCAAAGCCCCAGCTGCTCCCCGGCAGTCTCCTGCAGGTTCTCAGCCACGCCGGTCAGTACCCAGGGCCCGCCACCCTCTCTGTGAAGTACAAAGCCACAACTGGCCAACGGCAGCTTGCACTCAGCTGGGCCGTGGCGTGCACGTCTGAGGAGGGGGCTCAGGCCAGGTGCTGGCTTGGAGTGGATTCAGCAGGAGGAGTGGCTAGTCCAGACAGGAATGCTGATTTATTTCTATGTCACTACTATGCGGAAAAAAAAGGGGGGTCTGTACTCTGTCATGTGGTATGCCAGCGGTGACTGTGAATTCATTTCACAGACAGTACTGAGTACTTCTGGGGTACGAGCAGCATCCACGGGGGAGACAGGTCATCGTCGATAGTTACCAATAAATGAAGATCTGGGAGAACTTCAGACAGAACCTTGAGTTAGATCTTGAACACAGCGAGGGAACTTTAATTAGGAAGAGGAGAGGGCATTCGTGGAAGGAGGAACGACCTGAGCAAAGGCATGAAGGAAGAAAAGCACATGGCATGCTTAGGGACTAAGGAGGAAACCTGCCTGGTTGCAGGGACTTGGCGAAGGGACAGGGTGGCAGTGCTGCTGGGAAAGAGGTGGGAACATCTGGCATCATGGGTGCTAGGCTTTGGGGCCCAGAATTGCGGGTTATTGGAACCAGAAGCAAATGTGCCTTAATCCTTATCCTTTCACTGCCCTAGAGCAATTATTTATTTGAGAGAGAGATGGGGGGAGAGCACAGAGGGAGAGGGAGAAGCAGACTCCCCGCTGAGCAGAGAGCTGAATGTGGGGAGCTCTATCCCAGGCCCCTGCCCTGGGGCAGTTACCAGGCAGAACAAGCCCTGTCTCCTGAGGGTACAGCGCGGAGCCCCTGGGGACTGCAGAGTAGAAGCCCTCTGCCACGCAGAGCTCTCCGGCCAGAAGGCTTGATCCCCAGACAGGAGGGTTTTTTGTGTTGTTTTGTTTAACCACTCGAACACACGTGGAATTTTAAAGCAAACCCCTACTTGTTCCCCTTTGGCAGTTCCGGTTTAGTCAGCCCAGCGTGAAGCCTGACATCTGAATGGTCAGAGCAGCTCTGCTGAGTTTGCTCCGTCCTAAGCAATGACACCCTCCCCCCCACACACAAACCAGCGTGGCTGCCCCCTGAGGACTCAGATCACCAGCCCTGAACTGGCCAGGAGCAAGAGCTCGGGGGGCTGTGGGCGCCTGATGGATGGATGGATCGCAGACCAGCTGAAGCCAGAGGAGACATGTTCAGGGATGGAGGGGCTGGGGCTTAGAAATGTGTCAGTTTTTTCCCCCAAGAAGGTTTAATTCTCCCTGAGTAGGAAACTGTGAAAGCACTTTCGTTTTTCAGTGATACAACCGCTCTGCACCAGCCCAAACTGTATGATAAACAAAGGAAATGTGTGAACACACACTGGCTTTTCTCAAGTTAATACCGCATTCCGTTCCCAGCGCAGAGAATGCACTTTTGTCTAGTGGAGAAAGACTGGGCCTCTGACAGCCAGGATTTGGAGAGCTGGACAGGCCCTTAGTCACTAGGTAAGCTGGGTAAACCAAGGCCCACAGTGAGGGTACCTTAGTTAAGATCACATGATAATCTGTGGAGGAAGCAGGTCACTGACCCAGGTTTCTGATTCTGATTCCAGGGCTTTTTTTTTTATTTTTTAAGTAGTTTCCACACACACTGTGGAGCCTACCGTGGGGCTTGAACCCACAACCCCGAGATGAAGACCTGAGTTAAGTCAAGAGTCGGTCACTCAACCAATCAGCCACCCAGGCGCCCCTGACTCCAGGACTTTTTGACAAGTTAAATGACTTGCCAAGGTCACAGAGCCAGGCAATGGCAGGTCCAGGGCAGGAACCCAGCTCTGTGTGAGTCCACGCCCATGCTAGGGCTTCTGCCTCTGAGGTATTTGGGTTCTGAGTAAGACTTGACGCCCGGGCAGTAAGGAATGTCAGTGGTCAAGGTCGGTAAAGCTGCCTAGCAGAAGTCCCACGCTTTATATTATAATAAAATTGGGAAAAGGGGAGGAAAAAGAGAATCCTGTGCTTCCTCCACCAACACACTTGTTCAGCTGTCCTGTAACCTTGTGTTTTCTCATCTGTGTCCCTCCCAGGCTGTGAGCTCCTTGGCGACTGACCCTCAGGTGTCTCTGTATCCGCAGCGCCCACATCAGGGCCAAGTGCCCGGAGCCCACGGGGCATGACTGTTGAATTCCTTCGGAAATTCACCGGACAGGTGTTAAGGAGTACGCACTCTGTGCCGGGCCCTCGGTTAGGTGGAGAGTACGACCTCCGCAGAATCCGATATCTCCCTCTACAGTATTTGCAGTCCTTTCGGGAATTAAAGAAACACGGGGCCACGTGAGTCCAAACAGGATGACAACGTATGGTAAGTGCCGTGCATGGAAAGGAGCGGGGCTTGGTGAGACCCAGCAAAGGTGCTGCTGGGGGGATGGGTGGGGCAGGCCCTTCTGAGGCAGGGACGTGGAGATGGCGATCTAAAGGAAGAGAAGGAGGAAGAGATGTAGGGTGCGGGGAAGCAAGTTGCAGGCAGAAGGAACAGCCTTGTGGAGACCCTGAGATGGGGGAGGGGTTGGTCTGGTCTACAAGGCCTGTGGGACTGGAGTGAGTGGGGCCTGGATGAAGTGGGGTGCTGGCAGGGGTGGATCGGGCAAGGCCTTGGAGATCAGGGGAAGAGTGAAAGGGTTTGTTGGAAATGCCGTGGCAGCCATGGATGGTTTTTGGGTTAATGGATAGCACAGCCCAGGTGGCTTTTCAAGAGGTGGTTCTGACCATGGGGTGTGGAACAGGTGGGAGGGGAACAGGAACGGAAGCAGGGAGCCTGATGAGGTGACCGTGGAGTCTGGACCTGTGCAGTGGGGAGGAAGCTGGGTTGGATTTGGGGGGAAGAACCAGCCGCAGTCACTGACGGACAGGCTGGTGGTGGGAGTGGGAAGGGAATAATTAGCAGGGAGGCGTGAAGAACTGGGTGGATGGAGCTGCCGTTTATGGACCAGCAGAAAGCAGAAGGAAATGGTTTGTGGGGTAAAATCATGGGCTGGCTGCACAGATTTGAGACACGTGTTAGGCATCCGGAAGCAATGTCAAATAGGTAATTTTTTTTTTAAAGATTTTATTTATTTACTTGACAGAGATCACAGGTAGGCAGAGAGGCAGGCAGAGAGAGAGAGGAGGAAGCAGATTCCCTACTGAACAGAGAGCCCGATGTGGGGCTCGATCTCAGGACCCTGGGATCATGACCGGAGCCGAAGGCAGAGGCTTTAACCCACTGAGCCACCCAGGTGCCCCTTCAAATAGGTAATTTGAGTGTGGGGGTCAGACAAGAGGCCTGGGAGTACTTGGGAGTGTCGGGCTTACAGGGGTACATCAAAGCCGCAAGGATGGACAAGAGGAGCTTTGAGAAGCAGAGGAAGAGAGCCTGGGATGGAGAGGCAGAGAACAGGCAACAGCTGGGAGGAGGAATTCCAGAGGGAAAGGGGGATCAGCTGCTCTGTCGAGTGCATCAGCTGCATGGAGAGAGGTCATGCAGAGCAGGAACTGAGTGACCTTGGATTTAGCAACATGAAAGCTACTGGTGACCTTCACTGACTCAGTGAATAACTCAAAAGATGCCTAAAGAGGAGACAACAACTAGAGTGGATTGAGGAGTCAGGGAAAACTGTGGATTGAGGTGTTAAGGAAAGCTTTTAGAGGGAGGGAGGCAGCCTTTCTGCAAGATCCTTGGGAGGCTGAGTCCCGAGAGACCTAAATGCTGTCTGTAGGAGACTGAACTGAACTTGACAAAGCCCCTCCCCAATCCCAATGGGGGAGCAGAGGGTACAGCTGGAGGGAAAGATGGGGAGGAGCTGGCTCACTGCTCAGTAGTGGGGAATCCGATGACCTTGCCCTAGGAGACAGAACCCACTACCCCCAACCAACACACACAGGGGACTCAGAGACGTGTGTTCACGTCCCTCCATGCACAGAAGTCCTGGGAGGTGAGGATTCCAAATCTGCACCTCAGAGCAAAAAAGGGCTCTCAGGCACCACCTGGAGCCGCCAGCTCATTACACAGAGAGGGGCAAGGTCTGGCTCCAAGTCACCCAGGATGTCAGTGATAGGGGATAGGTGATCTCCACTGATTTCCAGTGGCCCTCCCCCAGTGAGTCAAGCGTGACTTCTTTCTCGCGGCACACAAGGTCTTTCCTGCTTGAGCAAGAACCCAGCCCCTCCCCCAAATCTAGCACACACAAGTATGCGTAGCCAGGGGCAGTCCTCACAATCACCCTTTAGAGTAGTTGTTAAGGTTCTCATTTTGCAGAAAAGGAAACTGAAGCTCAGAGGAGTCTGGGCACCTGTCCTAGTTTGCCCAGCTGAGCCCGGTTATCATCTCACGAGTGTCTCCAAAGTTGTCTTTCACCTATGCTCTGCTGCATTCACCATAAACAGCCTCTCTGGGAAGCCATCCCTGACCTCCCAGGCCCTGAGTCACCTGGGAGTGGGGTCACGTCCCCCGACACCAAATCACTTGTTTAAGTCACAAAAAAGTCCATTGAATGGGCCTGAAATCAGTGGTGCCCCTGATGCCCCAGGCCCCAGCAGCCCGGGCCACCACCTAATGACCACAGGGACCCCACAGGCACGCTATTCCCAGGGCCCATTGCCCCAGGCCAGCCACCCACAGCAGGAGTGTGCCCCCCCCAATCGGCACAGGACCTCTCCCCTCCCAGCCCCAACCGCCCAAACCCCTGCCCCTTCCTCACCTGGAGACCACCAGTGGTAGGATCAGCATCTTCAGCATCCGCATCAGGAGCTCCCCAGGAAACTGGAAGTAACTAATTTCCTGAAAATACAGCAAGAGCAGGGGTTATAGAAGGCTGCTTACAGTCTCCGAGCACTGTTTCACCCGTGCACTCCTGGGGAGCACAAGGACACGGGAGGAAGCGACGGCTGGAAAGCCAAACAGATTTGGATTCTAATCTTGACCTCCTGTAACTAGCTGTGTGGCCTTAAGCAAGTTACTCAGCCTCTCTGAGTTTTTCTCATCTTTACGTAAGGGTTGCAATCTCTTGGTAGGAGTCTTTGGAGGCTTCAGTGTGAGCAGGCACAGAAAGCACCTGGCAGACGGGATGGGAGTAAAGGCTCTGTAATGGCGGTAAGTGGCAGGTCTCCCCGACGTCTGCTCGGTCCGCCCGCCTGTTCGAGGTGTACGTGTGTCTCCTGCAGCAGATGGTCAGTGGCAGGAGGGCAGGGCTGGAGACCGTTCACACATTTACTCAGCCCAGGCTGGGCAGGCCTCATGCTGGGCACCCCAGAATGAATGCAGCCCCGCTCCTGCACCCAAGACTACTCAGCCCAGTGTGTGAGGAGACTGACTCAGAGACAGAGCACAGCCTTCTTGAGTCTGCGCCTCCTCCTGCAAGGGGTACACCCATGGGTGCGGTTCCCCCCAACACCACGCCAGGTCCCTGCCAGCCACCTGCTGTGCGCACATGGAAAATGCTGAAGGAGAGCACATCGGCTGGAGTGGGTGGGACGCCACTCAATAAAGAGCCCCTACCTGCAAAGTTCTTGGCATTCAACTTCCGCACAGGTTGCTAGGTTCATCCTACCCATGGGGCCTTGGATTGGGGGGCCAAGTCTGTGTCCCCCTCCCTCATCAGCTGTCTCCAGAGTCACAGGACCAGAACAGTGAAGTAGAAGGGCCCCTAAGCCCAGCTGACTTTGAATTTCAGATGAACAACAACTGAAATACAAATTTAACTGAGTGTGTGGTTTTTAAATTTTTAAATTTAATTTAACTCAGTTTTGCTATTTCTGGCAAACCTAGCTTGAGGCTACTTTTCTGAGGGTAATGTTGTGGGTGAGGCTGGTACAGGGACTTTCAAGCACCATCCAAGTTAAATTTTTGTACTTGCAACCCTCTTTCTCTCCCTCCTTTCTCTCTCCCTCCCTCCCTCACTTCCTTCTTTCTTTCCTCCCTCCCTTCCTCCCTTCCTTCCTTCCTTCCTTCCTCCCTTCCTTCCTTCCACCGAAGCTAAACACTTGGTTAATGGTTTGATGCTTTGGAAAGCCCCAACTCATATAATTTTGGTGCTGAGAAGGGGTTTTAAAGATCTTCTAGTTCAGCTGAGCTAAAAGACAGAGAGGACTTAGCGGTGACAGTGCAGGCCCAGAAATCAGGCCTCCTTTCCTGTTCTACTGTCATTTCCAGTGCTCCAGAAATCTTTATGAAATAAGGGTGAATGGGAGAGAAACTTTTGAGTCCTTACATGAGCAAAAATGCCTTTGTCCTACCCTTACCTCGGATAGTAGTCTGGCCGTATATAAGATTCTTAGTTTGAAAGAATTTTCCCTCCAAATTTCAAAGGCATTTCCCTTTGTCTTCTGGATTCCAGTGCGGTGTATGTTTGGAGCCATTCTTCCTATCCCTTAGTGGAGACTTGTTTCATTCCCTCAGAACCACTGAAGGATTTTCTGTTAATTTCCAGTTTTCTATAATCTTCATGGTGATGTACCACCGCCTGAGATTTTCTTCTTTCTTTAAAAAAAAAAATTCATAGTGCTGTGCATACATTTCAATTCTGAGAACTTTCTTACAGGCTCTGTGAAATTTTCTCTCCATTTTTTCTGTTAGCTCTTTCAAAACCTCATATATACTAGAGAGTTAGATGTTGGACATCTCCGATTTTCTTCTATTTTCATCTCGTTTTGTTTTACTTTCTGGGAGATTTCTGCAACTTTATCCTAGCTACTGACATGTTTGTCTTGCCTCATCGATTTTTAATTTCTAAAAATTCTTTCTTGTTCTCGGATTGTTCCTTCTTTTTTTGCATCCTGTTCTGTTTTACGGTCACTGTATCTTCTCTTACATCTCTGAAGAACTTAAGACAAGATTTTAAAATTTTTCTTCTATTTCCTGCATTGTCTCTGCTTCATTAGAGACTCTCTTTTCTGTTTCTTTAGTACCTGTCTTTCTGTTACAAGCTTTGACTTTGGCTTTCTCCTCGTATGTAAGTGTGAGGTGCTGAACTTACGTGTGCATGAATGGAAATCGTCAGGTGATGGCTCCTTGAGGACAGGTGATGGGTGACAGTCTGATTTGTTTACTCTGGATAGGGTGGGATGGGGGAGGAGATCTTTTTTCTGAGGCTCAGTGAGAAGTCTCTTCTCACCTCCACTAGGGGCTGAGGGTGTACCTAAGCCCAGCTGATGGCAGTCTTACAGGGATCCCACACTGCAGTGCAGATATCCAGTCATTTGCAGGACACATTTGCTTCATCACCTCCCCTCCCCCAACCCACACAGGTGGACCGATTTCCCTGCCAGGCTTCTCTGTGAGACACAAGCAGGTAGAGGTGGGTGGATGAGGAGTGCCCTGATTACATGGACTAGAGCAGACTGACGGGCTTAACTGCTCCAGTTACAAAATTCCAACCAATGCCCCTGATTTCACCTCCTGGCTTCACCTGGTCTCCTGCAGCTCTTTGCACTTTCAAGTGCAGAAACTTTCTGGAGTTTTCCAAGCCAAACTGACATGGCATCTACTTCTATAGACACAGACTTTAGCTTTCTGTGCTCTCCTAAGTGAGATCATTCAACTCTATCCACTTGCCATCTTGCCTAATTTATGGTACTCCCTTAACTTCTGTTCTCAGTTGTCTCCTTTTATGTTCTCTTGGGAGCTTATATCTTTTAAAAAATCCCATAAGTATAATTTTAGTGGAATTCCAGGAAAGAAAGGAAAATGGATGCAACTGTAAATTTACCATGGTTTAACTGGAATTCTCAAAATAATCTCTTTTTATTTTTTATTTATTTTTGGAGAGGCAGAGAGAGCATGCATGCACGAGCACGGGAGGGGGAGGGGCAGAGGGAGAGGGAGAGAGAGAATCCCAAGCAGGCTCACATGGGGCTTGATCTTACAACCCCGAGATCATGACCTGAACTGAAGTCAAGAGTTAGACACTTAACTGACTGAGCCTCCCGGGGGCCCCTCAAAATGATCTATATTTTTTCATGAGCTACTAGTTCCAAAAATCTGTGCTCTTGTAAGTTCTTTTCACAAGTAGGACATGCTTCCATTTTGCAAATTGTTTATGACTTTTGCCTGTTGCATAAGCTTGCAAAATAAGAAGGGTTTAGTTTCTGAGTCACAGGCGGAGATCATAGAAACAACTCCTGGATTTCCAAGTAGCATGCTGAGAAAGCCAACTCCTGCCAAGTAACTTCTCTAAGACTCCACAGCCTTTCTTCGGTTTATCTGGCAGGTTAATCCAGACCGGAACACATTTGCACTTCCAAGCAGATGGGTCAGGCAGCTTTGGCAAAGGAGGCCCCAGATGAGCTTGGCTTTTAGTAAAAAGCATTCCAATTTGTTTTCACAAAATAATCTTCCTGCAGGAAATGTATTTGTTGTTGCTCAGGGAAATTAAAGAAAGTAGATTACAGATTGTTTGCGTTGTTGCCTGTTTAATTCAGCAAAGAGGCGAGGGCTTGTTCTGCGACAAGCCTGAGCTAGACTCACATTTTGGCTCATGAAAGCCCATGTGATGTTCAGCAAGTCAAAATCTGTTGGGAGCTCCAGACACCTGCACAAAAGGCTCCGGAGTGGGGCAGCTGGCAGCTGGTTACAGGGGAAGGCTGAGTGTGATGTGAGCGAGGGAGAAGAGGATTATTTCAGATGGGGGCAGGAATGGAAGAATTTTTGTAAGGTATGGAATATGAGATGACTCTCGACACAGGTAGGCCTTGGACAGGCAGATAAGGGAGGGAGGAGTCAAGTACCAGCTACTCAGCGCTGCTGTAGGCCAGGCACCGCTGAGTCCTTGTTTATGCTCATGACAGTTCCAGTAGACATATGGTGCCCCCACCCCGGACAAGGAAAACGAGGTCCAGAAAGGAGATAGGATTTTGCCAAAGGCCACACAGCTGCTTATGAGTAGAGACCAAGTTCGAGGCTCTGCAGCCTCCAGAGTCTAAGTTTCTTTCTTAATATCTGAGAGTGGCTTAACAGTGTTAGCCTTGAAATAGGGGCTCAGTTTTCAGGGAGGGGGTGTTTCCCTTTTCATGGAAGATGAAGTCTGACGCTTAAGCCCCAGGTAGGTCATCTTCAGTGTTGGGGAGCTGCAGGAAGAGGAGTCTTGTGAAATAGAGGATCTTCCAGAAGCCCATTGACAAAGACTCTCTCCTCAAAGAGACATGACACTGGCCACCTGGGGCTCTCATTTTGGCCAGGCCTCATTCTTAGGTCTTGTCTTTGGCCTGCCTGGCTCAGTTAGAGCAAAAATCCTGCTATGTTCATTTAGTGAGAATTCCCCCTCTCTACCTTCGGCAAGAATCCCTCTACCCTCCCCGTCTCCTCTTAGCAATGCTCTCTCAGTTGGCCCCTCACTATGTTCCCTGTCTCTAAGCCCCAGCTATCTTTGTTGTGTTCAGACTTGAGCCTGATCTCTCTCCCCTAGTCCATGGTCTTGACACCTATCCCAGTAGTCCTGAATGAAGTCTCCCTTACTGTTTTAACAAGGGTCAGAATCATGTTTTCTCCAGTGCCATACGAGTGTCCCTCCCTGTCCTGTAGGAGATGGGTGCTGAGAGGGAAAGAGGCCCTTGCTCAGACAAGGCATCGCCACCCTTGTGGTTACACAGTCCGGAACCCTGGGGGCCTGTGCTGCTTCCCAGCCCCATAGCCAATGCACCCCCACATCCTGAGGGTTCCTTTTCTGGAAACAGGTCCCACATGGGCCCCGTTCATCCTGCTGTCAGGTCTCACCCCTGTAAATACCTCCTTGCCTGACCCCTGCCTGGCCCACGACTTCCTCATCCTGCACTCAGCACCAGAGTGATTTCTCCAAACTGAGATCTGATCATTTCACTCCCCTGCCCAAAGCCTTGTGCGGTGGGGCCAGGCCCCTGAGGGCCCCTGGGCTCCAGCCCTTGCCTCGCAGGGTACATCCCCCCGCTGCCATAAATGGTCTGCTCCACACATGCCCAGGTCTTTTATGGCCCCGCATCTTGCTCCAGCTCTTCCTTCTGCTCGGGATACCCTTCCTGGTCTCTCTCCATCTGAGCTACTGTGGGAGGTGTTCTCTGATGCCTGCTTTGCGGTCTTCCAAGACCCCGTTCTCCCGGCTCCCATGCCTCTTCACCCGTGCTTATTCTAATGAGATGCCCTGGCCTCTTGCTCACCCGGTGATGCTGTCTGTAACAACTTCCCCTGCCATTTTACCAGCTCTCACTCTAGCCCCACAGTGTTTCATCACACCCATGCTACAGATAAGAAGACTGAGACTCAGAGAGGCAAAGTGACTCCTCCACTCTTATGTCACCAGGGAGCCACGGAGTGGGACTGTGATTCCCAGATCCCTCAGGCCCACATACTCCTTCTTGGCAGGGACCCTGAGAAGCTCTGGGTGGCTGACCTGTGGTGAGAGGCGACGGGTCCTCAGGAAGAAGCCGAGAAGGCAGCCCACGGTGACGGACAGCACAGACAGGATGAGTAGTCCATTTCTCTTGCACACGTCCTTCCCTCGTGCCAGGATGGCACCTGGCACCATGGTGAGCCCAGCCTGCTGGCCTGGGGCACGGTACCATTCCATGCACGTGAAGCCAGCTGGGGTCACAGGGTCCCAGCCAGGGGCTCTGGCTGCTTGGCAGGCCGGGGGAGCAGTTGCTAAGCACCGGTCACCAGCCCCACGGCCATGGCCTGCATGGCTGCCCCAGAGGGAAGCCACAATCCTATTACTGGCTGCATCATTGGGAGCCAGAAACCGATTAGGGCCTGGGAAATTAGAGCAAGCCACGTGGTCTGGGGTTTTGGACCTCAAAGCCAAGTGCACCTCTTAAACAGGGGAGGGGCCCAGAGATTTGCTTGGTTGGTTTGATTTTTACCCGCACTTTATTCCAGAAAGAGCTGAAGGCAATGCAATAAGCTACTAGCAGTTAGTAACATTAATTAAGCATTACTGTGTACTAGGCGCTATTCTAGAAGCACATTACTTGCACTAGCACATTTAATCCTAATAACCAGTTCCAAGAAGTAATTACTAGGAGTATCATTTTATAGATGAGGAAACTGAGACAAAGGGCATGCGCTGTGTGCCAGGCCCATTCACTTGCTTGACCTGCGTGAGTTGTAGGGGTCATCGCGACAACCCTAAGATTCCAATGATCGCTTTCCTGAAAGGGAGATCAAGACCCCAGGAATTAGAGTCTTCTGGTCGTGGTCACGGAGCTCCCAGTAGCAGAGTGGAATTCAGGCCTGTGATGGTTTGATTGGCATCCCAGGGACAGATAGATGGCTTCAGAAGTGCTTAGCAGTATCGTGGGGCCTGTAGGCTCTGAGTCCAGTGCACCTGGGTTCAGACTTGGGGCCTGCCATTCACTGTGACCTGTATCCCTCACTGTTGCTTCACACCTGAAGCTGGGACTCTGCAGGCTCTCAGGGCCTGTTATTTTTAAAAATGACACAGCCCAAGGGACCTATTCAAGTCCCAGCTCTGCCATTGACCAGCTGGGTGGTATGACCCTGGGCACTGTGCCTCAGTTTCCCCATTCATAAGACAAACATAATAATGGTGTCTGCTTGGTTGGGGCTGGTGCAGCGTCCCATCCCAAGATTCTTTGTGAAAGCAGGGCTGAACCGTGCTGGGCGGAACAGGGGAGAGGGCTGTGAGGATCACTGTCCACATTTAGCAATTTTTTGAGAAAGGTTTCCTGGTTGCTCTTTCTCGTGGCCTGGACTGCCCTTTAAAGCTAGAGGGAATTAACTCTAGTCTGTTTCCTAGGGAGTCTGTAATCTCATTAGGGGCAGTCAGGCGGCAGCAGGGAGTGCAGTCTGTTGTAGGGGGGTTGTGCAGGGAGGGAAAGGGCTGCCTCCCCTGACACAGGGAACAAGGAGGACGGTGGAGAGGATGGGGCCAAGGAACTGCGGGGTCCAGGCAGAGGGGGCTGGGTGTAGGCCCTAAGCTACGCACAGAGCTCCCAACTGGGAGGGGACCCTTGGATATTGGTCCCAACCTAACCAGCTCTGTGACCTCACCCTCTCTGGGCCTCAGTCTTGCTGGCCTTCGAATGAGAGAAGCAGTGGGTGTGGGGGACCTGGCTGACTCAGTCAGTAGAGCATGTGACTCTTGATATCAGGGTTGTGAATTCGAGCCCCAAATTGGGAATGGAGCCTACTGAGAAAATAAGTAAAAAGTCTAAAAAAAAAAAAAAGAATGAGAGAGAACCAGGCTGAGTGCTTTCTAAGGACCCCTCTGTTCAACAGGCCAAACTTCCGAAGGCCCTGCCCTTTGCTGGTAACTTTGGGGAGTAAGGGTAGAATGACTTCAAGTCTGTGAGGTATGTTTTCTCCAACTCTGATTCTTAAAACCAAGAATTTTCTGACATGACAGTCCAAGGAATGCCTCATTTTCCAGTTAATCAGTTGGTTTAGTTACTGTCTAAAAGAGAAAATATTCTCTTTTATTTGGATATTTGGATTCGTGTGTGTTTGTTTGTTTGTTTTTTAAAGATTTTATTTATTTGTTTGACAGAGATCACAAGTAGGCAGAGAGGCAGGCAGAGAGAGCGGGGGGGAAGCAGGCTCCCCGCTGAGCAGAGAGCCCTATGTGGAGCTTGATCCCAGGACCCTGGGATCATGACCTGAGCCGAAGGCAGAGGCTTTAACCCACTGAGCCACCCAGGTGTCCCTGGATTCATGTTTTAATCCATGTCCAGGCTTGGCCCTTAGCCACGCCCCTGATGCAGGTGTGCCTTGCTCTCCATGTCAGCCTCAAGACTCTGACTCCCAAGGTGACCCCACAATGGCTTCTGTCTCCCATCCTTTCCCCTCTGACGGTACCACCCCCTACCTCCCAGACTCTAGGCCTTTCTTTCCTCTGTTCCCATTGTCTTCAACAGGCAAAATTACAACTCATTCAATCAGACGTTTTTACAGCACCTTGTCATGCCACCCGTGCTGGGTGCTAGGGACACAGCAACGTGTTGACACAGTACTTGCCTTCAGGAAGCTTGTAAGAAAATTGAGGGGGCTCTAAAAGAAGACCAATTCACACTCACATGTAAGTGACTGAGAATGAGCTTACTAAGGATATTTGCGAATCAAATTGAAAGGGTCCTAGATAAGAACCCGTTAATAGCTCCCTGTTGCCCACAGACTCAGTTGCCTTACAATGTTACAAGATATGCAAAAAATTTTTTTAGTAATTAGAAACAAGTTGGGAAATGCTGGTTGAAACAAAGTTAAGTGGGTTCTTTACTCAAGAACAATTCAAAGTCCGACTGCTCAAGTTCAAATTTTTGGTCTATGTGACCTTGGGCAAATCGCTTAGCTTCTCTATAAAATAGGAATAATACCACAGTACCTAGCTGATGGGATTGTGATGTGGGTCAAATACGGTGACGCGAGCTAAGTGCTCAGAGTATCGCCTGGTGCCTTGCAGACACGCACAAGGAGTTACTGTCCGTTTCACTGTTTAGTTGTGCGATACTGACATATGTTGGAGGAAGTCTCTAAGTGCGGATGCAGAACCTCAGCCCCCTTCTGCAGCAGAGACGTCCATGGGTCTAGTGTTTGGGAAACACAACTTTGGAACACTCCAGCCTCTGGGATGAAGTCCTTGCTCCTTAGAGAAGTGTTTGAGGGCCTCAGGCTTGCGTGTGCTCACCTCCCCAGGACATCACCTCCTTGCATCCGACAGACATGGGAGCTTTTCAGACACCACCCATGCGAGTCTCTCAGCCCCACAGCTCTCTCCGGCCTTCCCCCCTGTGCCCACGCTGTTTCCTCTGCCTGGAATGTCCTTCGCTCTGACTCCAAAGGCACAGGTCCAGTGCCTGTCGACTTTGAAGTCTTCCCCGACTCTCTGAGATACAGCATTCCTTCTCTTCCTCCTGCTCAGGCCCTTCTGCGGTCGCCACCTGTGCCCTAACCCTGGCTCCCTTCTGAGTGGCTCTGACGAGGAAGTATTTATGACAACAGATTGAAGTTTCTGTCTGTTACCACGTCGCTTGGTAGGACATACTGAAGGACATACTGCGGGGTCGGGGGGCACCCCAAGGAGCAAGGAGTTACCCCCCAGAGCAGCTGAAACTGATGGGCAGCGGGAAGTCTGCGAGATGCTTCCTGGGCAACTTGAGCTGCACAGATTAAGATGCTACGGGCAGAGAAGAGAAAACAGTCTTGTCAAAAATGAGCCCCAAGTCACAAGTCCCCAGTGCAGCCGCCCCGCTCTGTGGAAGTGAGTTTGTAGGCAAGCTCTTTCCACCAGGGCAGCTCTGTGTTGCATGTAATGGGGCAGGGGCTGCAAGATAGATTTTGCTAATGATTGATGGTGCTCCAGCACCAGCAGAGGGATCTACTCAACCCGGGGAGGCAGGGGTGGGAAGGCTTCCTGGAGGAGGGGTCACTTAGAGACCTGAATGTGCCAGGAGTTAACCCAAGGAGGGGGGTGCTAGTCAAGGGGGAGGCAAGAGGAGAGCCTGTTCTGAAAGAGGCGCCCAGGTTGGAGGTGCAAGGGCTGGTTCTGGAACCTGCCATGGAGCAGTGTCCTGGAGTGGCCGGCTGGCCTGGGACCTCACCTCACCCACCACGTATCAAAATAAGTTTGGGTCGAGCTGTCTGAGCTCCTAGCTGGGTTCTGGTGATGACAGCTCTGGTTTGTTGGCTGCTTTCCAGAGACATACCAGAGGCGCCTTAACCTCCTTCCTGACATGCCTTCCCAGCCTACTACAGGCTGGGTCCTTCCGGGAAGGTTTTCTGTGGACAACTTAGCCATCTTGGTGTGGATTCCTGCGAGTGTTAGTCACTGGGGGGCTGTCCTAATCTCTGCTGAGGCTGGTCCTTTCCCTTGTTTGCCTCAGACAGGGGGTAAAGTGATGGTCATGGCACCTTCCGGCCCCTCCTATCTAGACTGTTCATCTCTAGAAACTGGATCTGAACATCCATGAAACCACTTAGCTGCTGTTTGTTGAACATCTACTATGTGCCAGGTTCTGTCAAAGAGCCATATACCGGAGGGAACCAGTGAGCACCCCAGCCCCTCTACAAACACAGTATTGATCAGGTGCTGGGTTACAGGGTAAAGGCGTAGATTCTGGATATGGGCCATCTGATAAAATGGTACTGGTCACACTATTACATTCAGATTAATGACAAAGTTTAAAATTCAGTTATTTGGTTGCAGGAACCACATTACAAGGGCTGAAGGGCCATGCGTGGCTTGCAGCCACCATATGGAGCCGCACAGCTACAGAACATTTCCCTTATCGCCGCAATGAGCCAGATTCAAGTCTCAGATCTTCTTTTTGGAAGCTCTGTGACTTTGCCCCAAAAGTAAACCTCTCGGAGCCTCTTTCCTGCATCTATAAAAGCCCGTGTTCTTTACACTGCATCACACCTCCATTTGTTTAAATACAACAGCTGGGGCAAGATATAAAGTTACCCCAGCAAGTTCAAATTAAGATTCCAAGTTAGTTAGGACTCTTGATAGCAAATAACAGGAAACTGAATCAAACTGCCTTAGGTAAAAAAGGAATTTATAAGCAGGCTGAT